GAGGTGGGAAAGGAGGGAGGGGAGAGGGGAGAGGGTATGCATAGTCTTGAACTATAGCTAAGATTTCTTATTCAAGGAACATCTGGCTCACCCACCCCTCCCTGTGCATCTGGCTCTTTCCTTTAACTACTTCATGAAAATAAAGCATTTTCCAGATTGGTGGACCTCCGCCTACTGGATCTAGACTACAGGATGGGCATTTGTCTTTTCATTGAAAATATCTCTTTTAAAAATTGATTCACTGGTGGCGCACGCCTTTAATCCCAGCACTTGGGAGGCAGAGGCAGGTGGATTTCTGAGTTCGAGGCCAGCCTGGTCTACAGAGTGAGTTCCAGGACAGCCAGGACTACACAGAGAAATCCTGTCTTGGAAAAACCAAAAAAAAAAAAAAAAAAAAAATAGTTCACCCTGTCAAGTTCTATCTTTAAAGACTAGCATTCCAGGGTGGGTGCTAATTCGTAAGACTGGTTTCATAAAGATCTCAAAAAGTAAAAGGGCAGAGAAATGTCCACAGATGATTGAAAAAGATTCCGTGTCTCCTTGCAGGTCATTTCAGATATCCATACAAACCAGCCAAAGCCGAGGTCACTTAAGCAATCAAATTAACTGGGCACTGCATGGTCTCTTACTCCTCTCTCCCTGCCCTTCACACCCTCCCTTTAAACAGCAAACTTGTTCTATCAGGATTTTTTTTTCTTCAAATCAAAATGGGAGGAATATTTTGTGAATTCAAGCATCAAACAGGGAGATATTTATGCAAAGATAATATTTGCCACTTCTTCACCCTGGTCTAAAGGACTGCATAATGGCTCGATTATATATGATTTTGTGATTCTGTGCTAGTCAATTATTTTCATGCTCTCATACAAAGAGATGCCTCACTTAGCTGCCTCGGTGCTGGCTGTTACGCCACTCAGGAAGAAGTTCTGCTGAACCTTTTAGAAAATCCTTAATTCTCCCAGTTTGCTCTCCCCACCAAGAAAACCTCTGCGGTCATCAATTCAAGAACATTCTACTGTCTTTTTTTTTTCCCTCTTAAACATTCTCATATGAAGTCAGCTTGCCATACCGTGTTTGATTTCTTTCTCTCCCTTGTCTGGGTGGAGATGGAGACATTAGCTGAATTCCCTGGGGGTGATTGGATGCAATTCTCTGAAAGTAGACAGGCACGTCCTGGATGTTAGAAATTCACTTTTTCTCAACCTGACAAGGCCGGCTTCGATCTACAATTGTATTTGAATGGGCAATGAGCGGAAAGATCTCTCATCATTAAGGCTGTGTCTACTTTAGCAAAATAAGGAGAGCCTTCATTTGCACACAAATTCTCATAAAAGTTGAATCCCTTGCAACTCTTTAATAAAAAAGGATGGCTTAATAATTTAGACAGGAGGTGAAAAGAATGGAGATGGGGATGCTTCAAATGTACCCCTCCTTTCCCCTCAAAGGGCTATGTGATCGAGTTGACTTTTTTACTTTAAATCTTAAATAAGATGTGAGTTCTAACAAGAGGACTGGCACTTACTCCGTGACCCTTATAATTGGATTAAATATAGACCGAGACATACAAAAACACACCAAGATTGACACCTGCCAACTGGACTTCCTTATGATTGATTGTGATGCTTCGTGCTGGCAACAATAATGAAATAAATTGTACGGATAAAACAGCACATTTGTCATTTCCGTGCCATGAGTGTGGAAGTCAACGAGTCAGGCAAGCTGTTAGCTGACAGGCGCAAGCAGGAGGCAAGCTAAAGAGATAAATAAGGATTCCAGGCATTGACAGGACAAATTATAACTTGTCACAACCTCTTTAAATTCAGAAGTTTTCAATTAACATATATATTGCTGTTACATATAAGATAAGGGGACACTGAGGTAAACACATTGGGATTACAGGAGACCCCCCCCCCCAAGCTCCAAGGGCTTGGGCACAGGGACTTCCAGGAGGGCAATAGGGGCTCAAGACTCTGAGGCTGGTCTGGGGCAGGATTGCGTAATGGAGATCTGCAGTAATGAGGCTTCCTCTGTAGCTCAGACAACCCCCTGCCCATAGACTCACCACTCTGTCCCCAAAGAAGCAAAGCTTCTGTGAGGAAAGATTGCCTAGGCAAGGCCTTCTGTCCAGATCAGGCACACAGAATCCTGTTGTCCCCTTGTCTTCAAGTGTGGAGTTGGAGGTAGAAAATTGAGTGTTCCCCTTTCACTACCCAAACAACAAGCTCTTCTCTCTGTGTCTCTCTGTGTCTGTGCTCTCTCTCTCTCTCTCTCTCTCTCTCTCTCTCTCTCTCTCTCTCTC